GAACCACAAAAGACCCTGAATATCTGAAGCAACCTTGAGAAAGAAAAGCAAGGGCGCCTGGGCGGCTTATTTGGTTAAGTGGCTGCCTTCGGCTCGGGTCATGGTTCCGGGGTCCTGGGATTGAGATCCGAGTCAGGCTCCCTGCTCAGTGGAGAGTCTGCTTCTCTCTCTCCTTCTGCCTGCCTCTCTGCTTACTTGTGCTCTCTATCTCTCCATCAATTAAATAAATAAAATCTTTTTGAAAAAATGAAAATAAAAAGAAAAAAAGAAAAAGAATAGCAAAGCTGGAGGCATCACAATTCTAGATTTCAAGTTATATTACAAAGGTGTAGTGATCCAAACAGTATGATATTGGCACAAAAATAGACACGTAGATCAAAAGAGCAGAAAAGGGAACCTAGAAATGAACCCACAAGTATATGGTCAATTAATATTCAACAAAGCAGGAAAGAATATCCAATGGAAAAAAGACAGTCTCTTGTTAAATGGTGATGGGAGATTTGGACAGCCACATATAGAAGACAGGCTCAGCCAGCCACTCCAAGATTGGAAGCCACCTTAGCCCAGGTGTTGGTCATCTGACTGGAGCCATCTTGGATCATGAAATCCTCCACTGACTCCCCGCTGAGTGCAGTCACCCGGATCATGTCACCTGACATCATGAGAAACAAGGACAGCTCAGCAGAGCCAAGCCTGCCCCAGTGAATTACAAGAAATGCAGACCACTGTTTTAAACCATTATGCTTTGGGGCAGTTTTTTTTTTTTTTTTTAAAGATTTTATTTATTTATCTGATAGAGATCACAAGTAGGCAGAGGCAGGCGGGGTGGGTGGGGTGGGAAGCAGGCTGTCCACTGAGCAGAGAGCCCGATGCGGGGCTCGATCCCAGGACCCTGAGATCATGACCTGAACCAAAGGCAGAGGCTTAACCCACTGAGCCACCCAGGTGCCCCGCTTTGGGGCAGTTTTTATGTGGCAGTAGAGAAAAGCTTTGCCTGAGGTTGTGTGTGAACTTTATCTTGCGTATGTTAATAACTGTAGTTTTTCTTAGCAAAACCGTACGTCATTCATAAGGTGAAATTGTTATGTCATGACGTCCCTGATGTTAGACGCCATAGGAGCCCAGCTGGACATGCTTGGCAGCCAGTGCTTGAGTGTAGAAAGTGTGGCTTCTGGGATATCCCAGTATTTTGGGAGATGTCAGCGTATGTTGACCAGTGTATTAGATACAATACTGTATTGAAAAGACTGCTGCACTGATCTGTGTGTCTGTGTAGAAGGGCTTGTGCCAGGCAGTATAGTGATGGCTTACATACTATGGCTTATTTAGTCCTTACAAATAACCTCATTTGACAGGGCTTTATAGATGAGGAGACTCAGGCTGAGAACATATAATCACCTTCCTGAGGTCATAGAGCCAGTAGGTAATGGAGCCCAGAAGGATCCCAGGTTGTCCCGACTCCAGAGCAGCAGTGTCTCCATCCTGCTCCTGCCTTCCATCTTAGGAACATAGCTGTCGGGATGCCTGGTCTACTCAGTCGGAAGAGCATGTGACTCTTGATCTTGGGGTCATAAGTTTGAGACCCACATTGGGTGTAGAGATTACTTTAATAAAAATAAAACTTAATAAAAAGGGATGCTATATATATGTTCATTAGGAATTTAACTTAGGAAATGTGTTTAATTTGCCAAAATAAAGCATTGATTTGTATCTATAAGCCCAGACGGAGATGTGGGAAAGGACATTGCACCAGTAGTCAGAAATCCAAGGTTTTTGGTCGTGGCTATGATACCTCTAACAGGGGACCCCAGTTTCCCCAGCTGAAATGGGGCTGGATTAGATGAGAGTTTCTTAAGGTGGGATAGGAGGCCCACCGACGTAAGAATGTCCTGGAGCATTGTTCTAAACAAGCAGATTCCTAGGATCCAGTAAGATTTTCAGATGACTTTCTGCTTTTTAGGTTTGGTTAAGAAGTCCTATGTTTAAGAAGTCCTAGCCTAGGGGATCTCTCAAGTCTATCACTTTGAACTCTTAAAAAATCATGCTAGCTATATTTGATCTCTTTAGCCGAGTAGCATAGCTGTGCTTTTTAAAACAGCACTTTTTTTTTTTTTTTTTAAGATTTTATTTAAGGGCGCCTGGATGGCTCAGTCGGTTAAGCGTCCACCTTCAGCTCAGGTCATGATCTCAGGGTCCTGGGATCGAGTCCTGCATCAGGCTCTCCGTTCAAGGAGGAGTCTGCTTCTTCTTGTCCTTCTGCCCCTCTTCCTGCCTGTGCTCTCTCTCTCTTTCTCAGATAAATAAATAAAATCTTTAAAGAATATTTTATCTGAGAGAGAGGAAGCGTGCCCAAGCCGTGGAGGAGAGGCAGAAGGGGAGGAGTCCAGGGAGAGGACAGAGGGAGAGGGAGAAGCAGGCTCCCCGCTGAGCAGGGACCCCCCCCCCATATGGGGCTCCATCCCGGGACCCTGAGATCATGACCCGAGCCCAAGGCAGACGCTTAATCAACTGAGCCACCCAGGTGCCCCCAGAACTGTGTCTTTTGCGACATGAACCTCTCCTAGGGTTAAAATGTAATATTTTCTAGGAAGCTTCTGGTAGTCTGTGATCCTCTGATATCACAACGTACTGTACAGACTCAGAATTTGATTTTACTGCAACAGAGAATTTAATTTCCTGCATCATCAGTTCTCCCCTCACCACTGGATTATTTTTAGCAGCGTACAGATCTGCTGTGCCCACCCATCATAAGACGCCGTTGCCCTGTGCTCTACTCCCCTTTGCAGTGAAGCCCTCGTGGCGAGAGTAGGAAGGGCTCCCCCTGTTGTCTCAGCGTCTGGAACTCGCCCACCAGGCTGCTGCCCCATGGCTCCTACCGGGGTTAACTTCCTGCATCCTTTCCTAGCACTGGACCTGGTTGTCTACTTCCATCACCGGCTTCAAGGACCCCACACTGTGGGGTTCCAGTGACTTCTGGGCTATTTTTTCTTACTCGTGACATCACTTCTAACTTTCGGGGATCACAACCCCCTTTCATCTCTGCAGACCCACTTTAAAAAAGTGTGTGTTTATATGGATGAAATTTATCAATCTGAGTTTTCATCCTTTTTAATCATGGTGACTTCTAGGAAGCTTTGATTTCTTTAAGTGTCAAAGGTTATGCTCTGGAATAGTGTTTGTAATTTCTGGCAATTTATGTATTTCATCATTCTCCAAAGTGATCAAATGATAATAACATTTATGACTATTTTATAGTAGATACTTAAATCATCCTGAAAATAAGGTCTAATTGCCATGATGTAATGCTGAAGCCTGAAATTTAAGGGGTCCAGAGACCCACTTTGAATCTCTCGAAAAGCCTGACAAAGTGGTCATTACATTCAGTGATATGATTAATTTTAATATTAAATCTACTAAAAATTGCTCTAAAATCTGAATAGAAATTGTGGCTAAATATCCTATATTTCTGTAGAATTCTTCCCACATTCTCTCTTTTAGGCCCATATTTAACCTTTTATTTTTTTATAAGATTTTATTTCTTTATTTGACAAAGGTGTGGGGAGAGAGAGAGCACAAACAGGGGGAGTGGCAGGCAGAGGGATAGGGAGAAGCAGACTTCTCACTGACCAGGGAGCCTGATGCAGGACTCGATCCTAGGAGCTTGGGATCATGACTTGAGCTGAAGGCAGATGCTTAACTGACTAGCCACCCAGGTGCCCCATATTTAACCTTTTAAAATATATTTAGTTGAAGGTTGTTACTTTTCAGCTTTTGTACCTAAGCCTGCTATCCACAAATGTTTTTATCTCTTTGTGTCCTTATTCAATCTTTGTCTGTAGATGTGATTCCTCTATAGTTGTGTTATGTACAATTTGGTTCAGTTTTTAGAAATCTCAACATTATTCTCTGATTAATTTTATTAAGTGTTACAGCTAGAATTTTTAATGACTACATCTGTCCGGTTTACTTAATAGTTCCTATCCAGCTGGGCTTTTTTATGGTTTCCAGAGTTCCTTAGTTACAAATAAATGCTATTATACAGAATCTTTGTAAATGCAATTTTGTTTTTATTTTTAAATTATTGCCTGCTGACAAGTTCCCAGGAATATGATTATACACTCAAAACCAAACCTAGCCTTGCAGTCTCTGAAGTGTTAGGATTGTTCTTTATTTTTTGCCAGTTTTGTTGAAAATAGTTTCATTATTTGAATTTGCATTTCTTAATCTTGAGCAAGGTAAAACTTTCCCCTGTGGATTTAATACTTCTGTTTCCTGTTAGGTGAATTGTCTTTTTCATATTTCTTGTCTGTTTATCGGCTGGGACTTAAGCTTGCATAAGCTCACAGCCCTTTTTGATCAGTCATATCGATTACACATTTGTATAGTGCTTTCCCTTTTATGCTGATTTTGATTTTTCAGCATAGAGAAAATTTTGCCGTCCTTCAGAATATTGCTTTTATGGACATTCTGGTGAATGATATTTTCTTTTTCTTTTTTAAAATTGTGTGATTACTGGGGCGCCTGGCTGGCTCAGTCAGTAGAACAACTCTTGAGCTCAGGGTTATAGGTTCAAGCCCCACATTGGGTTTTAGAGATTACTTAAGAATAAAATCTTTAAAAAAATTGTATAATTGCTTTTGTTTGCTACTGTATTTATAAACAAATTTGTAAATGTAGGCATTTGACATTTGTGGCAGACTGACAGTTCATAAAGGATTTTTGAATGTGTCATTAAAAATTGTTTTTTTAAGATTTATAGGAGAGAGTGTGTGTGTGCGAGTGGCGGGGAGGGGGGTGGGCAGAGGAGGGACAAGAGAGAATCCTCAGGCAGACTCCCGACACAGGGCTTGATCATGGGGCCCCTGAAACCGTAACCTGAGCCGAAAACAAATCAGACGCTGAACTGACTGAACCACCCATGTACCCCTTGAATGTGTCCTCTTATTTAAATGTCCCCATTGATGATATTTTATCTGTTCCATTTCTCTTTTTTTTTCCAGACACCCAACAGGGGGATCCTTTATTCGTCCCAACAAAGTAAATTTTGGAGTGGGCTTTCTCATTGCAGTTAAGAACCGCTATGTGTTAGAAGATGGACCAGAGGAAGATGGAAAAGAGCAAATTGTTATAATTGGAAATAAACCCGTGGAAACTATTGGTTTTGACTCTGTTATAAAACAGCAAAGGTATGTAGGCTTGATAGCGGTAGAACTGACTTTGACAGTTTCATCGCTGTTCAGGATTAAAGTTCAGTGGACTATATGTTGATACTCAAAACTTTGCCTCCAAACTGGTCTGTCCTTTCTGCACAAACAGCCAGTTGAAATCAGAGGAATCTGAGGACTGAGTCTTTGGGGGAAATTAAAATTCTTAATTTAGCATAGGGTTGTTGGGCTTTTCTGGATTGGAATTAAAACATTACCCATCATTAATATTTATACCAGCTGTCTTGTCTAATAAGATTGACATTTTGGTCCTTTTCTATTTCATGGTGCCATTTCTAGCTGGGTGGTAAGTCAGAAATGGAAACAGAGGTCCAAGTTGCTACCTACCATGTGGCATGCTGGGCCCTCTAGAACCAAGTTAGTTTCCATCTCTGGATGCACACCCTTTCTTCCCTGGGGTGATTGTGAAGTTGCAGAATCTTGGGTCCCATCCTAGACCTGGATCAGAATACTATGGGCTCTTGCTTTTAAGAAGTACCCAAAGTATTATGAAACACTCTGTACACTGTGGTTCTGTGAAGAGAGGCCTTCTGCCCACTCCGATTCATGGGCTGAATCACAGTGAGTAGAAGCTGATGTTCCACAGAAACACAACTGCGTGAGAACCTTCCAGGTGACGGTCAGTGCTGTGGTGTTTGACCCTGACCCCACAAGGTGGCCTAGTAGCGGCCCCTGGTGGCCACAGTGGAGAGTACATTTCTAGCCACTTGGCGTCTTTCACTTTTCTCTCTAAAAGTCTCTTAAACTGGGGTTTTGTTGGAAGTCCATGTATTTGCTATCTTATTTTGCCATTATTGTGAATATCTTACTTTGCCATTATTGTGAAAATTTACACCAGATGTAAAATTTATATGGAGACCGTGTGGAAGAAGAAATTCGTTTCTGGATGCCTCTGCTTTTTAGCATAGGTGACCAGCATTAGTAATAGCAACAAAATATTCAGGGAACCATCCAAATACCTAGAAACAGAGAATGGATAAATAAGTTATGCTGTACTCATTCCATGGCAGTGAACACGAGCAGCAGCTACCACTCTGTGCAATAGTACGTGTGAAATCTCATTAGTACAGCGTCCAGCCAAAGTAGTCAGCCAGAAAGTGCACCTTGAATGATTCTGTCTCCATGAAGGTCAACACCAGGCGCAACTGATCGATAGTGTGAGAAGTCAGGGTAGACGATTTTGAGTGGAGGAAGCACAAAGAGGACTTCCCGAGTTCCGGGGATGTGTTTCTCGATCCGGATGGTGGTGACCTGTGCGTATTTATTCAAAATCACTGAGCTGTGTACCGATGTGTAGGTAGGCTAATCCATATACTTTTCCTACGAGGGATTTTTTTCAATAAAAAATATGTGAAGGAGGAAAACTCAAGGAAATAAAGATTTTTTTTTTTTTAAAAAGCAACCACTGGACTGTGAATTACAAAGCAGCTTACACTCATTGTTGAGGATTTAGAAAATAGAAATTGAACAAAAGGAAGTCGTGACTCATGCTACCACCAAGAGGTAACTGTCATGGATATTTTTTGCTTTTTATCCTACTGGTTTACTTGGATTTAAAGAACTACATGCTTTATAGGGTTGGAGTTCTTTCCTTCATCTTCCCATTTAAAATGCAACTATTGAAAAAAAAAGTGCAACTATTGAAATATCTTTTACCCCCATAAGAAGCACATTTTTTTCTTACTGGTTAATCTGAATACCCTGGCTTCTGTGAAAATTGCAAACCGATTTTCCTGCCCTAGCTTATGAATGACTGTGTAACTCATGAATTCTTTTGCTGCCTGACCCAGCTACTGGAGGCTCATGGCGTTCCATAATTAGCTAGCATCTCCCTTGGAACTGACTCCGTGTTGGAGTCCGGCTGGGTCAGACGTTAGCTAAGCCACCTTCTAACTCTGACACTTTGCAACTTCTAAGCCTGAGTCTCCTCATTTACGAAACAATAACTAAGCTGTTAGACCTGCTGTGGATAACACTGGAGAGTGGGTAAATAGTGGTCACCAGTGTTAAGGAGGGACAGAATCCTCCCCTTGAAGCCGTCATGTTATCTTCTTAATAATATCCAGCTGACCAGCTCTGAGTTTGTGCCCCTTAAGACTTACGGAAAAGGAATTAAAAAAAAACCAATAAAAACCAGCATGTGTGACTTCTCTTGCAGATGGCTCTGGCTCCGGAGTGAGGTCTGTGCTGAGGCCCGGGCTCCCACACTCTCTAGCGAGGTTTCCCTGGGCCCTGCAGCCAACTCAGCAGGCACAGTGAAATAGTTTTAATTTTAGAGGGAAACAGTGGCCTCTGTTGCACACAGAACAAACTATTAGTTTGAGATTGTTCAGTTCCGTGATAATCCTACAAGTCCTTTTATTGCTGTCCCATCCCCGCAAAGCTGGGGTTTTGGTGTTTCTGTGATAAAAAGCGAGTATCTCCTGAAAATCATCATGAAACAAGAAATGAACGTAGTGATGTCCGGTCTGATTCCAGGGTTTGGGAAGTTGTGCTGGGCACAACTGACACTTATTGACAGTAAGTTTGAAGGACACAAATAATTATTAAGTTGTTTGGCCCTAACTACTTACTAAATGCAAATTCGGTGTGATTTGTTTTGTTTTGTTCTGTATGACTTACGGGGACACTGAAAAAAATGCAACACCAAGGGCACTGTCAACTTGAGCCAGTTTGGGAGCCCCTAGACCTTTGTTGCTGCCTTTCTCCTGGTTTCTCATGACTGTAATAGCACATGCCTGGGGTTTTGATGGGAGTATTTCCCCCAAAGGCGGTCAGTTTTTCGTTTGTTTTTATAAATACTTACAAAATAACTTCTGTATGTCAGGCAGTGTTCTGAGATTTCACAAATACTAATATGGCATTTAAAAAAATTATAAAGAGCACAACACAGAGTTTACCATCTTAACCATTTTTAAGTGTATAGTTTGGTAGCGCTAAGTACATTCACAGTGTTGTGCAGCTGTCCTCACTGTCTATCTCTAGAACCCTCCCAAAATGAGACTCTGTCCTGCTTAAACAGCAGCCCCCAGCCCGTGACAGCCACCATGCTACTTTCCCCCTCTGTGAAGTTGACTCCCTAGGGACCTCACAAGTGGAATCCCGCAGTATTGTCTTTTTATGATTGGCTTCTTTCCCTTGTCATAATGTCCTCAAGTTTACCCACTTTGTGTTGTATGTCAGAATTTCCTTTCTTTTTAAGGCTGGGTAATATTCCATTGAATGGACGTACCACACTTGGTTCATCCATTCATCTATCGATGGACATCTGTAGCCCCTTTGGCTATGGTGGTAATGCTGCTGTGAATATGTGTGTGTAAACCACAACATTTTAAAGCTGTGGAATCTGAGGTACAGAGATTTTAACTCCCCTCAGGCCAAAGGAAGTGGTGCACTTGGGATTTGAACTCAAGCGATGGGGCTCTGGATTCCCTGTTCTAGATACCATACGGGCTCTTTCAGTGATCAGAAAATGGAGGTCCTCTGCCCTTAGAATGTGGCTTCTGAGATTTATCTAGTAAAGCTGAAGATATGCATGCTTTCCTCACCCTAGAGAGACTTTCCACGTATGAATGCGAGAAGCATACGACAGTGTTTACTTCAGCCCTGCTGGGAATAATATAACTGTCAGCAGAGGAGTAAACAGATTAATTGTGGTCTCCAAGATGTGGAAACAAATGCTCTGGAGCACATGGGTTGACGTAGCTAAATCTCACTGCTGAACAATATACTGTTGGGGGAAAGTAGCTTGGGAGGAGGATACATACACTAGGATACCATTTATATCCCGTTTCATTATAGATGAAATGCTATGATTGTTTAGGGACATGGAAACGTGCAGTCAGACTATTCTGTGCTTCCGTTTAAACAAACACCGAGTGTGGGGGAGCAGAGGAGGAAGGAACATGCTGGAATGGGACACGAAGGACTTCAGCTATATTTGTAGTGTCTGTAACACTTTCTTTTTCTTCTCTTTTTAGTAAAGCGTTATTTCTGAATCTGGCTGGTGGGTACTGGTATTGGTTATTTTTGGTAACTTCTTACAGGAAATGCTTTTTAACTTTTTAAAGGGCCAGTGGACTGTCCGTGTTTATCCATACGTGTGAACTCTGTGTTTTTCATGCAGTCAGCTGAGCAAGTTGCAAGAAATTTCTCTGAGGAACTGTGCCGTGAATGGTGCTGGTGACAAAGGAGCAATTGCCAAAGCGTGTCCTAGTATCCTTTTCACTGAGAACCTGACTTTGGACTTGAAGCTCATGCGGGACACAGCCAGGAACCTTCCCGGTGCCTGTTCTGCCCAACTTTCTTCCTCAGGGTCTCTCTGGCTTCCCTGTGCCAGTTGCCGCGATAGGAGATTATTTATCTTCCCGGATCCCTCTGCCTTCAGGTGAGGCAGCGGGCCTCCCCCCAGCCAAGGAAATGTCTGGATAGGGCTCCTCACACAGGCCAGACGTGGCTGGCACCTGCCTTCCGCCCCAAGCACAGACAGAGCACCCAGGCAGCCGTCTCGTGTGCAGACCATCCAGTGTGGACAGGGAGAGAGAGGGGGAGTCGGAGGCCTCGACCACACCCCGGGGCCCCCCACACCAGCCCACCTGGACCGCCTTCCTGTTTCACGCAGCTGTGCGTGGTTTGTCACGATCCCTCAAAACAGGCCCTTCCAAAGTTTGTAATCCTTTTCTCTACCTTCTCTTAGAAGAGTTTTTGGTTTGTGTTTACCCTACATTGCTTTCATGTCCACAACTAAGAATACAGGTGATAAGTTTAAATGAAAAATCCCCCTGGCAAATGAACGAGATTTTCTCGAACTTTCAAAGGTTTTCTCTCAATTCTTTAAGCCTGCCTCATCTCTGTGTAATAATTTATGCCCAAGATAGTTTATAATCCGTTTTCTCTGGGGGAAGAGACGGCTCATGAGCAGTAGTCTCTAGCCAGCTATTCTGAGCTGTCCCTGTACTGCATGCTTTGTGACTCCCTCAGTCGGGACCCGGTCACTTTGCCTGTGAGCAGCCCCTCTGTGGGCCCCAGCAAGCTGAACCGGTGCTGTCCCTTTCCCCATGGACAGTGGAAGCATTGTGGATGGAGTAGTTGGGTAAGGAGCAGAATGCCACGGGCAGCGTCTGGAACATTCTGTGATCTGCCCGGCCAGCTACTAAGTGATTTTAGAAGATTGGGAATTGGGTGGTTCAAGACTTAATTTCAGCATATCGGAGATATGGCCCGTAGGTGGGTTTGGGAACGGCGACTATTTGCTCAGAGTTGTCAGCAGGGTCCTGGGGAGTCAGCATCTCGCTTGCTGATGCTGTTCTTTCCTGTGGAGAACATCCCGAGTCTTGAAGAAATGCGGTTTCGTGAGATCATCAAGGGAGGGCTGATACTTGCAGGTATAGAGATCGATGTCTTCCAGTTGCTGAGTGAATTCTCGCCTGCAGTGAAAGTCTTGTCTGTGTCTAATCCAGTTGTCCCTTTGGAGTGGCCCCGTTTGAGGTCACTCCCTCTGCTGGGACATCAGGCCGCAGGAACGCTGAGGCCCTGAGCTTGCCGGGCCTGGGAAGCTCCTCCGGAGAGGGGATGAGCTCCTTCCTGCTTTGCCAGCTGGCTCTGCGCCAGGGGAGTCTGGGCCTGCGAGCAGGAACCAAGTACCGCCGACAGATCCTTGGCCTGTGCGTGTGTGCGTGCGGGGCACTGCACGACAACTGCCAGCTTGTTTAGAGCTGATTTCAGAGGGCGGGTCGTCTCTGTGCTCTGGATCACCAGCAGGTGTGTGTATAACCCTGCCCTACGGGATGGAGAGTATGAGCGAGTGAAGGATTACTGGACCCCTGCCCTGGCTGACCAGCCCTGTGGTCCAGAGCTAGCAACATCACGGAAATGAAAGGTGGCTGGAGCCTGACCGTGAGGCATGAAAGCACCCTGCCCAGCAGTTGCAGGCAGGTCCAGACCCCCCAGAAGCTCCCATTTCAGTCAGAGACTAGCCAAGATTTCCTGGCCTAGGTGTGGCCTGAGGTGTGGCCTAGCCCCTGCGGCCTTTGTGCCCTCGTTTCCAGCACCTCCCACTCCCTTTATCTAAACCGGTTCTAACTTCAGGGCCTCGGCTCGTCTGTTCTCTCTGCCCAGATGCTCTTCTCCCTGATGGTATTCCTCTTTGCCTGTGGTCTCTGCTCAGATGGCACCTTCTCCGAGAAGACGGTCTTCCACGACCAGCGTATATAACGTACCCACACACCCCTCTCTTGCGTCTGTGGCTGCTACTGTGAGCCTGTCTGTAGGTGGCATACTGCAGAGGCACATGCTTATCGCTGTCTCCCCAACTGTGACTGTTGAGTTCGCTGCTCTGCTCTTGGCCCCCTCCCCACGGTCGTGGAACAGAAGAATGAATGGTTCCCAGCACAGCAGAGTTGTGCAAAAGACCCTCCTTCAGCAGGTCCAGTTCTGCCTCAAGCTTCTCCTCTGTCTCTCTGCCTGGGGGTTCAGAGCTGCACCCCCTCTTGATGGCACCGTGCTCCCTTGAGATGTTCAGCTTGGGTGCCTTTTCCTGTCCTGCTTGTTTCTCCTTCTCTGAATTCCCAAATCATTCTCAGCACTTCAGAACCTTTGTCCGCGCTAACCCCCATGGTCTGTTCTGGAGGTGTGGCTGGGGACTTGGGGGTTCTTGTGGGTTGGAGCAGCGTGAGGCCCCACAGGAGAATGACACGTGGCTATGAGGCAGCCGCTGGAGGCATAAAGCGAACTCACCACCATTGTTGTTCTTTTTTTTTTTTTTTTTTTCACTCTTTTTGTTGGATATTGCTAGAATGGTTTCACCTTGGTTAGGACCTTTGGTTCTTACTTACTTGATTGTAGAGGTTAGTCTCAAATTTGCAGCGTCTGACAGTGAATGTTTTCGTCTCTCAGCGAAGAGTGGGTGACTTACAAAGGTGAAAGTAGCATGTGCTCCTGAAAACATTTCAGGCAGCGTGGAGGGTGTAACGTGAGAAGGTAAAGATCCCTGCTCCGGAATTCAGAAGTGACGACTATTCTGTTTTGTGTGACTCTTTCCATCTTACTCTTCCTTAATGGGTGCTTTGAGATATCAGAAAAGTAGATTTGTCAAGAAACCTGTTGTCCTCGTGGGATGAAGTCCTAGATATTGCTGATCAGCTGAAACATCTGGAAGTTCTTAATCTCAGGTATGAGCTCATGGGTGTCCATTTGTCCCCTGTTATGAAAACCCCAACGTGTCCTCATTCCCTCATGGCATCTCTGTGGGAGAGAGGGAAACACAGCTCAGTGGAATTTAAGCTTAATTTCTTCTTCTTCTTCTTCTTTTTTAAACTAGACCTTTTTAATTTTGTTTTGTTTTGAGTGCCCGTGAGTTGGGGGAGGGATAGTCTTAAGCAGGCTCTATGCCCAGCGTGGAGTGCAACTCGGGACTCGATCCCGTGACCCTGAGTTGATGATCCGAGCCGAAAATGAGTCAGACACTTTTTAAAAAATCAGTTTATTTTTAAAATTTTAATTTTTAAATTGTTCCATTAGCCAACATATAGTACATCATCAGTTTTTTGTTTTTTGTTTTTTTAAGATTTTATTTATTTGACAGAGATCACAAGTAAGCAGAGAGGCAGGCAGAGAGAGAGAGAGAGGAGGAAGCAGGCTCCCTGCCGGGCAGAGAGCCTGATACGGGGCTTGATCCCAGGACCCTGGGATCATGACCCAAGCCGAAGGCAGAGGCTTTAACCCACTGAGCCGCCCAGGCGCCCCGTCATCAGTTTTTGATGCGGCGTGTGTGCAGCGCTTCCTTAGTTGCGTGTAACACCCAGTGTTCATCACAACGTGTGACACTTAACTGGACCACCAGTTACTTATTACTTATTTATATTTAAGCTTTCCCCCCAACGAGGGACTCAGAGTCTCAACCTCAGGATAAGAAGAGTTTCATGCTCTATTGACTGAGCTAGCTAGGCGCCCCTTTTCTGGGGGATGGGAGGGGAAGTCTTTTGGTTGACTGAGGGAGGGTTGGCCCGTCAAGTGGGAGATCTTGGTGTCTCTTGTGAGGCTACCCATGAAGGATGGGCCTTCTGGGGGAGTCAGTATTTAACTGGGGAGCAGGAGAGGGGCTGTGAAGAGTGCTTATTTGTTCCGAAGCTTCTGGCACTTGATTGCTGTAGGAATGAGCAATTTCGTTGGAATGCTGTCTCCTTCTGTTCTGATAAGGATTGTCCACCAAGCTGCGTGTTTCACTAATGGCCCCATCTTCCGGGCCTCTTCCACCGCTTGGTTAGTTTCAGCCTTAGAACCTGATTCCCCGAGGGCTCAGCCAGGTGGAAAACATGAAAGTCCTCGAGCCAGCCTGGGGTGGACAGGTGGCTGGGACCTGGCTCAGGCGGTTCAGTGAGCGAGGAGAGTCAGGCCTGAATCAGTGGTGCTCCAGAGAGGGCGGAGGGTGTCCTCTGACCCCTGGCATCTCCTCTTCTGGAAATAGGGGCTCGTGTGTTTTCATGGTACCTTCTTCCACAGTGACTCATTGTCGTTGTCAGGATTGAGCACTGTCTGAGACCAGCACCACAAGAGAGCACCACGAAGGCAGTGACTGATTTTATCCATCCTGATAGCTAGAGAGTGGTTTCGAGACCCTGGAGGAGCGGGACTGTAGCCCCCGGGGCAGCCTATATCAGTAGGGCAGTTGAGAGGGCGCTGGATTTTGTGGTGTCCAGACTCTGCCTTGCGAAGCTGGACACTGACCTTATGAATGCCTGAGGCTTAAGCTCCAGAACATCTGTGGATGTCAGTACCAAAAAGTCGTGCATCGCAGATACTAAAAATGAGGTAGCCTGGACTCCCTTGGCTTTTAATTAATTTCACTTTAAGGTCAAAACAAACCAAATGCCTGCTATTAAATCCCAAGTTGTTGGGCGCCTGGGTCGCTTGGTTGAGCGACTGCCTTCGGCTCAAGTCATGATCCTGGATCCCGGGACTGGGTCCCCCATCGGGCTCTCAGCTCCATGGGGAGTCTGCTTCTCCCTCTGACCTTCTCTCATCTCAAGCCCTTTCTCACTCCCTCTCTCTCAAATAAATAAATAAAAATCTTTTAAAAAATCCCAACTTGTTGCTTGTAGGGACTTTCACTTGGGCCTCCTGGGGAGTGGGTGATCAACACATTGTGACTTCTTTTTCTACACAGTGAGAATAAACTCAGCTTTCCCTCGGGTTCACCAGCTCGAACCGGAACATTTCCTGCACTGAAGGTTTTAGTCCTTAACCGAACAGGAATAACATGGGCGGAGGTAATCCTATTTCTCCAGTTTATTACCCAGAAATAAGAAATTTAAAATTCTTGGCTTAAGAGGGAACGGAAGCACACCTGTGGCTTGGTTTTAATTATCCCGTTATCCAAATAATAGGATTCTTTAAACTGTCTCACTGAAAGGAGTTACAGAATCATTGCAGTGAAGTAAAATTTTATATTTTGGGATTGGGATTTTCTCTCTCGGCTCCTTCTGGATTGTTCTGGTGTCTTTCTGGACTGTAGCACTCCATAGTGGGGTGGAATTAACCTACGCCGAACTTGAAGAGCCCTCAACTTAGCTGTTGATGGAGCTTCTCCGCATGTGCTCCAAGGCAGAGCTGCCAGAAGATTCTCGCATCCTTTTCTCGTTTAAAGTTTAGCTCTGGAATCCACTGTTCATCGTGTACAGCTGGGTTTAAAGTGGACTCGTGGGTATTTTGCCTGGTAGCATTTGGAACTTCTATCTGGCACTGCTGTTTTCCATCAGAGGTGACCTGTATATGTGCCCAGTATATTCTGTTTTCGCAGATACGTATTTTCTCCACAAAGTCCTTGTCTTTGAAATGCCACTGAGGTGCCTCCCGTAGAGACCAGTTGCCTTTACTGGTGCGCGTACGTCCTAGCGCTCCTTCCTCCAACATGGGATTAGAGTTAGCCTGAGAACAGGCAGGGCACATAGAAATTCAGGTGCTAGAGATGGTGGTGAAGTTCAAGTGCAAAAACGCAGAAATAGTTTGGGAAACGCCGTCTGATGAGTGTATTCTTTGCACACCCGGTTCGGCATTGGGAACTGAGCAGCGGTGTTTAACATCAAGTTCCTATCTTTGCTGGAGCAAACTATGTCACGTGCTAAGAGTGTGCGCAGTGCATGTCTGCACATCCACTTTGCAGTCCTCGTACAGTTCAAGACCTCCCTGGAGGATGCATTCACAGCTGCCAGAGCACCGACTGTATACGCTCCCATGTCATCGAAACACTTTGTCGCCGGCCCACCAGTGCTCCCGGCCCGAGTTAGAGTCCGTGATGGAGTGTCCATAGGACATTTTGTTTCTAAAACAGTAAGGGAGCTGAGTTAAAGTGGAGATAATAGTAGTTAATACACAGGAAGAAACATGTAAGAGAGGCTGCTCCAGCCTGAACTCTGTTTCTCTCCAGGTGCTCCGGTGCGCCGCTGGGTGGCCGGTCCTTGAGGAGCTGTACCTCAAGTCTAATGATCTCCTCATTTCGGAAAGGTAACAAAGGCTTACTTCTGTCCGTGTTTCGCCGTGTAGTCTGAATAAATGAACAGTCTCGATGATGCCTCACACTGGTTTTTCTTTTTAAAGGATTTGCCAGTGAGAATTAGAAACCTGCTTATTCTTTATAAAGTAGGGCGCCTGTGATCATTGGTCCTGATTGAGGAAAAGCCCATCAGAGTGAGAGCCTTAAGTTAAATATATTTGAAGACAAGAATTTTATTAGTTTCACAGAAATATATTTAATTTCTGTTTCTAAATGGAGGTTCTGTAGGAAATGCTTTATAAGGATCAAATAATGCATTTTAATCTTTTTTTCAAATAATGCGTTTTAGGTAGCATTATCTGCAGAAGGTTGATGTAGCAGAGCATATATAAAAGTTTGTTCTCCTTAAGTAAACATGTTGTCTTTCTCTTTTGTTGACTATCATTAAATTATTATTAAAACTAAACACGGGCAAATTTACAACAAATTCTCATTGAACAGATTCAAGTTAATGAGATTTTACTGTATGGAACTATTTTCTATACAGACAACTGCAGGTGTTTTTATTTTTGTTTTAAAATATTTTGTTTATTAGGGAGGGAGGGAGAGCGAGAGGGAGGGAGGGAGAGCAAGTGAGTGGGGGAGGAACAGAGGGAGAGGCACACACAGCCCCATTCGGGGCTCGATCTCATGACCCTGAGGTTATGACTTGAGCCAAAACCAAGAGTCGGACACTCAACCGACTGAGCCACCAGGTGACCTAGGTGTTTGAAGACACCTAGCCACCTAGGTGTTTTCAAATTATACTTTTTATTTTGAGATATTTTGAGATTCCCATGCAGTTACCAGAAAGACTACCCAGAGATCCCCTGTACCCATGAGCCAGATCCACGCCCTCGGTAACATCTTGCAGAGCTGCAGTTCCATATCACAGGCAGGGTCCTGACATCGGTCCAGTCCAGACAGAGAACGTTTCCATCACCATCAGGGCCCTGTGTTTCCCTGGTGTGGTGCTGTCCACCTGCCTCCCGCCCCTCCCTTTCCTTTACACTATACTTTAAAGCTGTATCTTCAAAAACAATTAAGAGATGAAATTCACGTTGAACTGTTTTTAATTTCCATACAGGCCGGCTGATGTCCTGCAGACAGTCAAGTTATTAGACCTTTCCTCTAATCAATTAATTGATGAAAATCAGCTGTTTCTAATAGCCTATCTGCCCAGGTAATTTGCTTCTTCAGTGCTGCTTGCAGTAGTGCTTAGAAATGGTTAGTAAATGGATCACATCCTGTCTTTGCTTTCTCGGTGGAAATGTGATGATGATGATGGCATTCACAAACTGAGGAAGTCCCTTTGGGACATTTTTATTTGCATTTATGCGGACCATGTCCCTGCAAACCGCATACACTTTAGTCTACATCTGCACTAGGTGACTGAAGAATGAATAATTTGGCCCTCGTGCTGATGTCCAAAGTCTTCATTCATTGCCTTTTGGGAAGTTAGACCATGTCTCTTTCCTCTCTGAGACCCATGAGCACGTAGCACAGCCGCGGGCACCAGGAACCGGTAGGCGACTGTAGAACCCTCAGAGCACGTTCTAGAGTCCACTCCGTATGCCCCATACTGCACTGTTTCTCAGCGTTTCATGTGGCATGAGAACCTAGGGTGTGGGGGAAATATTACAGATGCAGTCTGGTTGATAGACTGTAGCATTTTCTACTGCGCTTTATAATCAAATTTAACATTTTAAATTTCAGATTAGAACAACTCATCCTTTCTGACATTGGACTTTCTTCTATACGTTTTCCAGATGCTGGAACTGGTATGTGAGATCATTAGCTCCCCTCCCCTGCCCAGTACCTCATACTTAAGCTCCTTCTTTCACTTCTCCTGTGTAACTTCGTTCTCCTTTTTTCTCTAGGGCATAAGACTTCCATGTTTCCTTCCTTGCAGTACCTCGTCGTGAATGACAATCAGATCTCACAAGTAAGGGCTTCTGTGGAATGTATGTACCTCATGAGCCCTCGTTTACGCTCTCAGGAGAAGTTCGTCAGTTCCTTCCATTACAAAATATTTACTTCATTTTAAAAATATGCTTTATAAAGTTAATTTTACTTGCACTATAGTTAACATGCAGTGTTGTATTAGTTTTAGGTGTATAGTGACCCCACCCTTCCACACATTACTCAGGTCTCATCAAGCTAAATACACTTTAGTCTACACTCTCTTTCCCCCATCTCCCATTCACCTCCCCTCTGGTGACCATCAGTTTGGGCTCTATAGTTAAGAGTCTTTTTTTTGTTTGTTTGTTTGTCTCTCTCTTTTGTTTGTTTTGTTTCTTAAATTCCATGAGTGAGATCATACGATACTTGTCTTTCTCTGACTGACTTACTATGCTTAGCATAATACCCTCCAGCTCCATCCATGTTGTTGCAAATGGCAAGATTTCATTCTTTTTTTTTTTAATGGCTGAGTAATATTCCATTATATATACGTACATCTTCAGTCATCAGTCAGTGGGCACTTGGGCTTCTTCTGTGGTTTGGCTGTTGTAAATAATGCTGCTGTAAACATAAGATTGCATGTATCCCAAAGTTAGTGTTTTGTATTTTTTGGGTAAAGACCCAGTGGTGCGATTACTGGATCATAGGGTAGTTCTGTTTTTAACTTCTTGAGGAACCTCCATATGATTTTCCATAGTGGCTGCACCAGTTTGCATTCCCACCACCAGTGTGCAGGGGCGGCGGGGGGGGGGGCCCTTTTCTCCACATCTTCGCCAGCACCTGTTGTTTCTTGTGTTGTTGATTTTAGCCATTCTGACAGGTGTGAGGTGATCTCTCATTGTAGTTTTGACTTGCATTTCCCTGATATTGAGTGATATTGAGCATCTTTTCATGTGTTGGCCATTTGGATGTCTTCTTTGGAGAAGTGTCTGTGTATGTCTTCTGCCCATTTTTCATTGAATTATTTGTCCTTTGGGTGTTGCGATTGCTAAGTTCCTTTTACATTTTAGATACTCTTTATTGGATGTGTTATTTGCAAATATCTTGTCCTATTCTGTAGGTTGCCTTTTAGATTTGTTGCTGGTTTCCTTCGCTGTGCAGAAGCTTTTCATTTTGACATAGTAAGAAATATTTTAAATTGAAAGAGAAATGCTTCCCCTCAGAAAACCCTAAAGCATTAGGAGCTTAATTTAAGTCACAGCAAGCAGACTGTCGTTGTACATGACATGGTTCTAGAGTAAAAGTGTGTGGTCTTCCCAGTGGGTGCTCCATGCATAAGGACAATCCTGCACCTTGGGTTGGCACGAGGGGTTTTTGCTTTTCTCCTGCTAGTTCAGGTACTCCCAAGAAATGAGCCTGAAACATGTTTATTTTCACATATTCTCTTTTGCTGGGTTTCAGTGGTCGTTTATCAATGAGCTGGATAAGTTACGGAGTCTGCACGCTCTGTCCTGCAGCAGAAACCCCCTGACGGGAGAGAACAAAGCAGCACATACCACGCGTGGGCTCATCATCGCCAAAATCGGTCAGTTGAAGACCCTGAACAAATGCGAGGTGAGTGCTGGTTTCAGGATCTGCTGCCTCTTGGAACAGGAAACACATGATCAGAATCGTCCCGCGCCTGAAGCATGATGCCTCTTCTGGGCTCCTCAGGAGGTGGCGTCCTGGAGAAGCCTGTTGCTTGGCGGCCTTGAGAAGGGGCCGGGCGTGTCAGGGGTTTGTTCCTTTGTCTTGGGGGGATTACAGGAGGAAGAGCCAGAGAGCTTGTCCTCCTCTTCTCAGCCGCTGCCCTCAAGAAATTGCGGGGGCAGGGCCTTGCTGCCCCTGGGCCGCCCTCCGGGAACAGTGTGCTCCGGGCCGGGGCGGGGCTGCCCCCTCGGGCGGTCGCCGGCTGTGGACACTCTCGTGAGGAAAATGTAGGACGAAGTTCTCTCCTTGCGCTGTCAGCTCCTGAATCCTGTCCCTGTTGTAAGGGACGGTAAGAAGAGACGCCCCGTCGCTCTCCGTGTGACGACCGTCCCTCAGCGAGCGGCAGGGCAGGGCACAAAGCACAGCCCGCGTTTGTCCCGCAGATCCCGCCGGAGGAGAGGCGCGGCGCCGAGCTCGATTACCGGAAGGCGTTCGGCAACGAGTGGAAGGCGGCGGGCGGCCACCAGGACCCCGAGCGGAACCGGCCTCACGCGGAGTTCCTCGCCGCGCATCCCCGGTACCAGTCGCTGTGCCTCAGTACGTTTGCGGCCGCTGCCCTCCCGCTCCGCCCCCGCGGCCCCAGCCGCGGGGCGTCGGAGGGGACCCTCGGTGGCCCTGCTTTTCTTCGGGGCGTGGTGGGGTCCTCCCAGCGGGCCTCGGTGCGATGCTGGGGCCGCGTCCGCAAGCCCAGGAGCCAGACTCGAACCGGCCTCTTCAGGGCAGAGTCCGCAGCCCCGCTCCGCAGAGGGAGCGTGGGGAGTCCGAGGCCTCCTGGAAGGGCGAGATCGGCATCGGGGCGCTGGGGCGGGGGCAGCCCTGCGGTGGAAGCCCCTCCCGTCTGCCCGAGTTCACCGCCCCCCCTGCTTCGCGCCGCGGGAGAGCGGGGGACCCCTCCTTGCGGGGGGGCAGGAGCAGCGGCGGCCCCGGCCGAGCCTGCGGACCTCGCACGCGCGGAGCGTGTTAAGGTCGAAGCCGGGCCCCCGTGTTGCTGAAGCTCCCCGGGCAGTGGTGACCAGCGTGTCCGGTCCCCTCCGCGCGGCTCGAGGGCGCCCCCACCCCCGGCCCTCCCCGCCCCCGCCCGGGGCTTCCTTACCTTCCCCGCCTGGGTCCTCAGGCCCCGAAGCCCCCACTTGGCGACTCTGTCCCTGCCGTCCTCCCCGTTTTGACTTCGTCGTCACTCCAGATGTCACGTGTCCGGGACGTTCTTTCTCAAACCCGTTTCCCGGTGCCGGTCGCCGCATTGCGCTCCGGCCGGGGCGCTGGCCGTGAGGACGCGACGCCGCCTGGGGGGGGCGCTTTCCGATCGCGGCCCGGAGCTGCCCGGTTTCCCGCCGCTTCGGGAGCCCGAATCACCTGGGGGCGGGCGGGGGAAGGGAGCTTCTGTCCCGCAGCCGCGCGGGTCGGGCTCCGTGTGGCTGCTGAGAAGGCCCTGAGGGGAGACAAACGGCCTCTCGGGCGGCCTTGAGAGAAACGCAGGCCCGGGTGGGTCCGGCATGAGTCCGCGCAGGCGACGCCTGCCCTCCCGCCGCTGCCTCTTGACGCTGCTTTTCCAGGCGGGGACTGGGCCCGGGCACCCAGCCTGGCATGGCGCCATCTGGCTGACACCTGAAGGTGTCCCTTGAGTTGTGTCCCATCTGGTCCCGGGGTTCTTTGAGGCGCGGGGGGGTGGGGGGGGCGCTGCCTGGACGCGGTGGCTGGCCATGGCTGTCCGCCTGCAAATAAACGAACAAGTAGCCTAGTGAAGGGGACAGGTCCCAGGTGAGCGGAGCAGCTGCTCCCGGAAGGAAAAGGCTACGGGGGTCCTTTGGGCGCCTGTATTTTTCCTTCTAGGGGCCTGGTTTATCGTGATCCGTGTTTATGCTTCTTGCACAGAATACGGTGCGCCCGAAGACGGGGAACTCAAGACACAACAGCCGTTTTTGCTCAAAAACCAGCTACTAAGTAAGAAGCGCACACTCAAAGACCGCTCACTTGTATGTGCGTCTTTGGGCGCCGACACAGATGGGGACGGTTGCTTTTTTCTTAATGAGGTACCTGGAGTAACCCAGTTTTGAAAGAAAGGATGAATTCCGGAACATCTCTGAGTTGTATCACAAGTTTTGGCAGTTCCCATGCTTTCAGCTCAACTGTTAGAAACTGGGGCGGCGTGTGTGAGAAGTGTGCTGACTTGTGGTTTGTAAATGTGTGACTTTCTTACACGGGGATGCAGGCTACACGGTCAGGCCAGGAGTCGGCGGGAGCAGGGGAGGCACTGGAATGTTGGTCCAGCGCTTTCTGTTGTTAATTCTGTGAATAACGGTTGTTAATCGTTAATTCCGTGAACAATTAGTAGAAGGAATTTTCAACATCAGTAAGAGCTGTTCTGTATTAGGATCTGGGCCCGGTGGTCTCACAGTTGGATCCTGGGGCAGGTGCAGGTCAGGTGTGTGCAGTTTGAACCCTTACTACACTAGCTCTCAGTCTTTTCCCTTTTTCTCTTTCAAGCACTGAAGATAAAATATCCTAATCAAGGTGATCAGAAAGTCCTAGAGAAACAACTGCCAGGTAAGAAAAACAGGACTTTTGTCTCCTTACACTTAGGAATCACTGGCCTAGGCATGAGTCAGCTGGTAGAAAGTATCTAGAAGCTCCATTTGGAGCTTCTAGGTTTTCACTAACCTTTTATGATCTAAAATACAATGTGTCCTTCCCCCCAAACGCTCAAGTCTCCCGTACCGGTATCAGCTTGTGTAGGAAAGTCTTGTTAAACAATGACCTATTTAGCCAAAGGCACGAGTGCGGAGCGGCATGGCCTTTCCCGAGCCCACCGCTGTTTAGTGCCCAAATTGTGGCGCTGGTCCAGAGAGACTCACTGGGCCCGAGGTCTTACTGTCCCTTCGTAAAATAGGAAACCTGTCTTGGTGAGCTGAAGTGTGAATTACTTGGACATTTGTGACTTCACATACACTCTGCTCCTTGCCAGTTAGGAATCCCCGCAGAAAGTTCTCAGATGCGGTCTTTTAATGGACACACTGAAATGGTTTTCTTTGGAAGAACGACTCCAGAACTCTGTCTAAACGTCACTGTTACTGGAACGGAATTAGCTTCATCCCGAAAATACTGTTATGTCAACCAACTAGATTGATCTAATATACTTAGAATTACAGTCCCTCGAATGTACTGTGCCTTGTCAGATGGAAGCCCGCCTCATGGTGAGAGTGGTACGGACGGGTTAAGTGTGGAGCAGCGAGGTTCTGAGATGAAATGTGTAGCGCCCTAAGCGACTCTCATAAAATACTTTGCTTGTGAGTGGAGTAAATTCACATTTTTAAAATGTCTGCCTTGTAGCACTTGTAATGGCAAATTCCCCCACCACCTGATTGCTCACCAGTGGGGAAGGGGAGGGGCCGAGTAACCCTGGCAGCTCCGTGCCCCACGGTCAGGCAGCAGGAGCGAGCACGCAGGAGTCTAGGGTCGACTGTGCAGTATCGCTGCCACGAGTCGCCATTTAAATTGAAATTCATTAAACTGAAGTAAAAAAAATTCAATCCTGAGTCGTCCCGACCCCGTGGCCCTTCAGGGTCTGGCCGGCTGCATGGACGGCTGGGTGAGAAAGCAGCACGTGGGGTTAGGACATCACGAAACCCACCCGTCCTAACAACCGGAGAAAAGCCTGGAAGTGTAGACCCCCATTGAACTTCCACAGGGGGCCTAGGAAGCCACAAACCATCTCCACATTTTCTCAATGTTAAGACAGTTGTGTGTTATGTTGACATTAGAAATGGTAATAGTATTTAGAGCATTACGGGCAAATTGCCATCTTTTTCTGTAGACCCAGTGCAGGTGGGCAGATTTCTTACTAGGATTCTAGTACGGCCAAAGTGTTTGTTTCTGACGTGACTTAGGAATGGGTCCTTTCCCGTTGCTCTCGACCCATCACTAACCACCCTCCGAACAGTGAAACCTGGTCCACCAAAATCTGTAAGAAGGACAAGATTATCTACACATATTCACAGACAAAAGAACAAGTTATGTGAAGTATGTCAATTGTTTATATTCAACACATAAACAAGGCCAGTTTTTACTCTAAAATAAAGATAACATTTATTATCACAAGTTGCATAAAAACACAGCTTTACAAAAATCATTTTTGATAGAAAAATATTTGAATACATGTGATATTTGTAGGAACACCATACTATTGCTGTACCTCCAGCTAAAGCTTCAAAGAAACTATATTTCTCATCATCAAAATATCCAGTATTTACCACAACCCATCTTTGGAAAGAAGTTCAGAGCGTTTTCTGAACAAACCAAGGCATCTGCTCATGAGGCATGTCCCCCATCACGATCTCACAGACCGGTCCCTGCCTCATTCCACAGAGGAGGAAACCGAGGCAGAGCCATGGAGAGGCGCCTCCGGACGCCTGAGCCCCCAGGCCAGCATTCTCGCTGCCATCTGTAAGCGAGTCATCAGAGGTTTAGAAAGTAAATGATTTTACTCAGATTTACTCCTCTGTGCAGAGAACGGGATTTCTGGTTTATTCAGACGGAGGAAATGTTCGCCACCTGAACTGGAATCCCACTGTCAAAGGGCACTTAGGTCAAACCCTAGCTCAGCTCCCCACGTGTCGGGTCGGCGGTGTGGAACCGGCTCTCGGGGTGCGTGGGGCCGGTGAGACTTTCCCTAATGATGTCCACGGGGAAACGGATACCGCGAGTCGTTGCGACTGTGGTCTTGTCACACGAGCTAGATTGACACGTGTCATTTGAGAGAACTGAGGGTGTTTTTCTTTGACAGACTCCATGACAATTCAGAAGGTGAAGGGACTGCTGGCCCGTCTTCTCAAAGTCCCTGTGTCAGAACTGCTGCTCTCCTATGAAAGCCCCAAAGTAAGTAGCCCACAGAACAGAGTCCCGGCTGAGTCCCCCTGGTGTGACACGCTGTGAATCTAGGGCTCCGTGTGACACGTATTGTTTCTAAATGGGAAATATATGCCTCTCTTCGGGAGGGGGTGCATGTATGAAGATGCCTCTGCCTTTATCGCCCCAACCCTTTGTTCTGTTTGTAGATGCCTGGCAGAGAGATCGAGCTCGAAAATGACCAGCAGTCCTTACAGTTTTATTCTGTGGAAAGTGGAGATTGTCTGTTGGTGCGATGGTAATAATGAACTAAGAAAGTCTGGGGACTACACTGTTTATCATGACTGGGTGTGGGGGTCACCGCAAATAAAGGGTTTATTGGAACAATTCTGTCAGAAAAAGGTTTTACAACTTGCCCTAAGCATAGAAAAGGTGGTATTTTCACTGGGAAGAGACCATTTCTAGGCTTGTATGTAACAGCAGTAATAAAGGCTTTGCACCTACTAATGATTTTCTGATTTTATTTCATATTTCGTGACTATACATTTCCATATGTGGAGATTTAAATATTAAATAGAACCTAGCTAGTCTAATGAAATCTGAACACAGTTAATGTTGGTCATAGGACCAGTTCTAATGGAACTCTATGGATACTGTGAGCTTATAAAGTTAGCAAAATGATTTGGACGGTCACTTTGGGAAATGTCGCTTAAACTTAGGCATTTTCTATGTGTAACGTGTGCTATGATCTCTTCCCTTCATTACCCTGTTTTTAGAGTACTTAAAAAATTCATTACATGCTTTCCCCTACAGTTGTACCTAAGCTGGGCATATATCCTACAGAAGATTTCCATCTGATTGGAGTTCACTCATATTAGGTAAACATTACACAATGACGGGAGGAAAGAAAAATTCATTCTTTTAAAGTGTCTGCTACTTAGCAGTATCCTTCCCTATGTCACTAAAACCCAGAGAGGTATTTGATTTACAGCCACAGAATTTTAGCTTTTTTTTAAATAGTACTAGACAGTGACCTTCAGGCTTTATGTTAAACAGCAAAAGAAAACTGAAATTAGCTCACTTAATAAGTGAACTTTAAGACCAATGTCCAGAACTGAGACTTATATGGGTTCCTTTTCCAGTTGCCCACTTCACTCAGACATTTCCATTCCCAAACTTTGGTATAAGTGACCACACAGCATTCTGTGAGTTGTTTTTGGCCCTTCATGATCCTAATTATGCCTCACAGAGCCATTCTGTAATCCAGGCTGGAATTCACATTCTTAGTTACTAGATTTCTGAACGAGGCCAATTTTAACCAAAAGTGATAGGTAATGAATTATAAACTAGAAAGGATACCTCAGGTTTTAGAAACATGTTTTATAAAACAATTTGGTGTTTTTCAAATGGTCTTCCAATATGGAAATAAAATTTTTATGTACAGTATCAGTTGATTTTTAAAAAGGAAATTTTGTGCAAACATTTAGAAATATCACATTGGTTTCAGGTAAAAAGTGCCAACCTAGAACTATCTGGAAAGACCACAGCACTTGCTGCCTAACTGCGGGCTCCCCTCCAACTGCCCCCAGCTGCTCCCAGGCGTACCATCCTCCTCCGGCACAGCAAGTTAAAACCCTCCCGCTGCTGCTTCGCACTGACAAGGATCCCCACACAGTTCCTTCAGCTGCCACAGCTGCGCCAGCTCCTGGGGCGAGTACTGCGGGGAGGACAGCATTCCCGTCTCACATGTCTTCTCACACAGCCACAGGCCGTCCTGGCGAGAAACCAAACCAAAGTGAACTCGGAGCCATGGAAATGAGCTTGTAGGCTCCGGGGGGGGGGGTGGGAGGGCGGTGGAGAGGATTCTAGCCGTATGCGCGTGCGTGTGTGTGTGTGTGTGTGTGTGTAATTTAGAAAACAGAACCCGTGTCTCAACCTTGACCCTGGGTGGGATGGAAAGGGTCTGCCCTGAGCACCTGGAACCCCAGCCTGCCCTTAGCTGGGGTCCCGTTCGCCAGCAGTGCAGTCAGAGATGGTCATGGCCTTCGGTGCAAGGCAGGAACATCAGTCCTCTTTGTAGAGAACATTTTAAATACTTCCTTTCCAAGGACATGAGTTCACACACACAAGTCTCTGAACACATCAGGAAACAAGCTCCCTGAGCTACGTCTGCAGACACACCTGCCCACACAGACCCACCAACCCCAGCTACCACAATGATCAGACGCAGAAAATGACGTTCAGCGTTCGGCAAGTCAAAGCCGGGACTTTGGGAGGGCGGTCACGTCTGGCCCAGGAGAGAGGGTTCATCCCCGTGCACCCCTGACACGAGTGGGGCCTGCTCTGGGCCCAGGCGCCGCACAGGCTTCCTGCCCTACCCGTCCCTGCGTGTGCCTCTACCCCCTGCACCTTCTGTGGCCAAAGTGGAAACTGCAGGAATCAGAAATTTCCCAGAAAGCCTTGAGCTGAAGCCCAGCTTCGTGCCTGCCTCTTCCCAGGGCCCCCGTTCCCATTTCCGACCTCCGGAGATCCCTTCCTTCTTTCTTTCCCTGACCCGGCGGTCAGTGGATTTCCAGGAGCACCTTCCGGTACTTACATCCGGGGTTGCATCTGCATCAGTCAGAAGAGCTGAAGGGTCCCCGGACTGTTAATGCTGCTGGGAACGTGCCAGCGGGTTCCTTAGGTCTTTTTTTTTTTTTTTTTTTTTTTTGAGGTGATCTCTGTGCCCGACACGGGCTCAGACTCATGACCTTCCGATCAAGAGCTGCAGGCTCCACTGACAGAGCCAGCCAGGCGCCCCTGACTCCTTGTATTTTAAAGCTACAAAGAACTTCTAATGGAACATATAAAAACCTAATTCTTCTCTGTGGGTGGGAAAACTTCCATCCAAAACATTTCTTTTAAACTCAGAAAAGTACGCGAACACAGGTGGATGACTGAGCTGAATCGGGCTCAGCCCTGCTGCCGGACCTTCTGCTCGCCGTTCCTGCCCCATGTCTGATCCGGGCGCCTCACTCCCTCACAATCCGCAGAGCCCCGGGGCCGGCCCCGCCAGGCTCGCTTACCTGGTAGCGCGCAGGTCCTATGGCTGCCATCCAGATGCCCATGCTCACGTCTTCACCCTGCACGCGCCCGAGATTCAAAATGCAGAAGCTGAAATGCTGCGTCATCTCTAAACACGATGTCACACGTTCCCATAAGTCCTCTTTCCACTTCGTTCTGTAATTATTCTACCGGGAAACGCCAAGTCCACCACTTGTACACAGAGGGAAACCTAGCGGCCGTGGACACCCGGGGCTGGTCGGCCGCCCTCAGAGGCCCCACGCCGGCAGCATGAGCACTACAGCGGCTCCGGTGGCCGGGTGGGCTGATGAGTGACACGGTCACTGGAATCCACAAAAAGGAAGCCCGTGCTTTACAGCCTTCCCCCTTGTGACTGTCAAGCTTTCGGTTCCTCCAGGGACTATCCTTTGAAGTACAGCCCAAAAACGTATTAAGTAGGCTCAAAAAAAGATTTTAGGAACAGAATTTAGAGCCAGGGTTTGGAGGCCACGGCTGTGTCCCTGACCTCGGAGGGGGACTCCTCCCAGGTGCGCTGCTCTGTGCTCAGAGGTGGAACACCGGGCTGGACGGGACTCGGCGTGAAGAGTACACGGTCGGGGCAGAAATCTGGACTCACCTGATAGGTCTTCAGTCTGCCCGCGTTGCCGGCGAGCCAGTGCACGATGTCCCTGGAGATGACGTACCCCGAGCCGCAGGCAAAGGCTGGGTAGGCGGGACTGGGGTACTCCAGCTCCTGCCACTTGCCGGTTCGGTCCACTGCCCAGTTCAGTCTGAAACTGAGAGCCAAAAAGAGGTGGATTCCTGTGTTGGTGTAACACTACGAGTCCTATGCTACGAGCTGGGACCCCTTTACGATCACTACAAAGGACCAAGCTGTAAAAGTAAGGAAAGAAGGAACTTTTTTTTTTTGGTCTAAGGAAAGGCATCATTTACCGAGCGGGTGTGTGACATGAAAGACTGGCGCATCACATTCTCTAAGTTACATCTGTGCAGTTTCTGAAAGTACCAGAGCATCACGTGTACATACGCTAAAGACCCCGGATCCATGCTGGATTCCTGAAGAAACAGCGAAGTTTCAGAAACGTGTCACAACCCTCTTCTACCCTGTACAGCTCCTCCTCACACGAGCACCGTCACTTCTAGGCCACGTTATGAGAGCCACATGGTCTTCCCCTCCTCATTCACCTCAGCCCAGGCCTCCCGGTCTGCAGATCTCCCCTCTCACCGCAGACTGCTAACGCCCAGGGGCCCAGGCAGGAGGCTGCCCATCTCAGCCACATTTTGCTTGTGAAAAACAGCTTGTGTGTTTGTCATTCGAAATTAATTCCTTTTGATCAGGGACATGAAGCTGAAGAGCAAACAAGGTTTAACTTACTTTCCCCACCAAAAATTAGGCCCATCCAGATTCTTGTGGGCAATCCTATTAAATACAGCCTCCAAGTCTATGTAACAGTCGTCGTCCGTCTTCAGCAGTAAGTCAAAGCTGGTTGTTTCCACGGTCCTGTTGGCAGAAGGGAAAACAGGAGTCAGTGCACCTGTACCTCCGCACCAGGAGAGGAAGCGATGCTGCCGTGGCGACCTCACCATCGTTTTACTGGAGGACCGTCCCTGGACGACCTGCACACTCTCCCTGTTTCTCCGAGGCTGAGAACATGCTCAGAACGCTGCCACCAGCAACTGCGTCCTCACTCGGTACTCACCGAGTGTAACACAGAGAAGCACCAAGCGGATCTGAAGGGTGCGGACGAAAACACAATAAACTACAGACCTGGCTTAAGTGGAACCTACGCGCAAACAAACGGTTCTGTGACCTTGTTCCCATCAGGCTGGCAAACATGCCAACCCTGGCACTTGGGTTCTTCCCGGGGGCCCAGGGTGCGGGGACAGGTGTCCTCACAGGCTCTCCCACAGAACCCTGCTGCACAAGATGCCCTACTGTGCCACGAGTTCCACTCCACTCAGCTGATGGTTTTTAAAACACTGAGCTGTAACATGGAAACAGACTTCCCCGAAGAAATGATTCTCCGCAATTAAACTCTTATAAATGACCTTTAGGAAGGCACAGGAGGGTGACTTCATTTACCCAGACATATAAGGGCGAGCAGAGACAAAACTGACTTCATTTCACAGTGCCAATCCCTGTCCATCTTGGATTAAAACAAAACAAACCCAGAGTCTTGCTAGGGAACCAAAAGGCAGAAATCTGAATAAAAGAAATCTGGAGAAAGTGTTTTCGGTCAAAGAATGGTGAATTTCACAACAGGTCCACACCAAAGTGCATGACCCCGTGCTTCTGAAGTTTACTTCTAATTAACAGTACAGGAGCACATAATATTTGCTCATCAGGAGGAACTCTGTGATAAAGGACACTGCGGTCACTGAGGAGTCACCTGAAGAAAGAATGCCTAGCGCCGCTTTCATTACAGCATGGACGGTGGACAGGTGTCACAGGCGGGAGGGGGAGGAGTGGGTCCCCAAGCCCAGGCCCATTAGCCTGTCACCAGTGATTCAGGTGGCAGTGATGACTAAGATCTCAGAGATGCGCAAGGAGTACAGGAGAGAAGACTTAAACCGAAGGTAACAGATAAACTACACTGAACTTCCACAACCAGGAATCAGCTCCCCAGAGAAAGTCCTAGAACCCCACAATCTGGATTTCCCACTTCCTGGACCTCCATTCCCACCCTTCATTGAACTCTTTCCATTCCTGCCTTGGCCCCCTTATAACAACGACCCCTCTCAGGGGCCTTGAGCTAAAGAAGGTTCTTTTTCTCGGTTCAGTTGTCCAAACACAACCCTGGTATTCTAGACACATCCTGATTTCCAGCTCTTACTTCTATCTGCCCTCTAGCCACAGGGTGTCTCCAAAATTATATTAACTTGCCCTAGCCATGAAACATGACCTTCCGTAAATGAATCCAGACTACATCCATCCATTCTGCCCAGGGCAACAGGCAAGAGAGAGCAACAGACTCGGGGGCTCACCAAGAAACGAGCTTCCTGATCCAGTTTTCAAAGACACAGATGTGTTTGGGGCGCCTGGGTGGCTCAGTGGGTTAAGCCGCTGCCTTCAGCTCAGGTCATGATCTCAGGGTCCTGGGATCGAGTCCCACATCGGGCTCTCTGCTTAGCGGGGAGCCTGTTTCCCTCTCTCTGCCTGTCTCTGCCTACTTGTGATCTCTCTGTCAAATAAATAAATAAAATCTTTAAAAAAAAAAAAAAAAGACACAGATGTGGAAACCTCTAGATTTAGGCTAGACAGAGACAGCTCGGGTTCATTCTAGGGTGGACAGTGTCACAGGGCTCAACAGCAAGTAAGTGGACCCCAGAGTGACTAATCTTGTTAACTGTACAAATATGTAAATAACAGTAGTTGTTACTGTTGCTGCCGTCAGTCATATAAAGGCAGGAATGACAACCCGGGTGGAAGAAATGCTGAAGGGTTGGGAAGTTACAGGAGAATTCCAGGGCTTCGCATTTCATCTTATTGAAAACGTTTGGAATTAGGGCAAGTGGTTCTCGAATGCGTTGGAGTAGAGGATGGAAACAGAATGTGCATGTTCTGAAGAGAATTCAGACCAGTAACCTGGGTTCGGGGGAGCTGTATGTGGGCCATGTAGGTCGGCGGGTGTGATCACCACTGAACACAGGGCATTTTCACACTCAGTGATTTTCATCTGGTGTTGGCTTGAGGCAACCGAGACAGCTGCTCACAGGACTCATTTCCACTCAGAGAGAACGGAACAACTCGAAACGAGAGCGACTTTTGCTCCATTTTTGATAAAGATTGTTCACATCACGGATCTGCTCATCTGAATGACAAAGCAGCAGAACTTTAAAAAGGTCAATCCTCACAAAGAACCAGGACACAAGACATCACATCCCAGCTGTTGAGGGGTTCTGGGGTTGGTTTAAAAAAAAAAAAATGCAGGGGTCTAATGTTAATAAATTGTTCCTACAACCCCAAAACAGTAAGACAAATTCTATCTACCCCACATTCTTACCACCTACCATCTGTAGAAGTTCAGCAATTTCGCAGGGACATTTCGGTAAGTGTCCACGACATCCACAAAAACAATGTCATCATAGATGCTGCTTTCCTCCCTCAGGAGGGCGTCTTCCCTGTGGAGGTTATTTATGTGGTCAAGAAGTCTTCGAGGGCGAGAATGGAGGTTTTGTAAGAGTGCGTCACCTTCTACAAAGGAAAATTCGAGAGATGGAGAAAAACGCTTTCACGAACGTGAGACCCAGCAAGTGAACGCTCTGTACGCTCACACCCTCTCTCTGGGGACCCAACAGAAAGCAGCGGGAGGCCCCTGAGCTGGCCTCCAGGCCCTCCCGCCCCTGCGCAGATCCATAGCCACTCCTGCGGACAGTCCCGCGGTGGTCCGCCAGGCCGTGGGAGGCAGCGGGTCCCTCCACGCCCACCCCAGCCCTGACTCTGTATTTCACGTGCTCACAAGGACGTCCCCTGCGGCGCTGTTTGTAACGGAGGAAACTGAACCAACCTAAATGTCCCCTGACAAGAGAGTGACCAGCCTGGGGGACAGTCACGTAATGGGATACCGCAGGCAGAAGATGTGACCTGATCTTGCATGTTCCGAGGAATGGCACTGACAAAAGATGCCAGGGAAGGGACCGTCATCGCTAGGTGATATGTACAATATGATGCCGTAGACCTCGATTATAAAATACTCCCATCAGAACTGTTACGGAAAGATACATACGTATGTAGTAGAAAGCAGGGAAGAAAGAAAGGAAAGTGTGCACATGAATTTCGGGACAGGGACACCCTCTCCGAGGGGAGGGAGGGACATGGTCGGACAGTTAGCAGGGAGGGGGATTGTGTCTGTGACGGTTTTTTAAAAGGAAGCAAATATGACAAAACATAAGCATTTGTTAATTCTGAGTAAGAAGTACATGGCTGTTTCCCACAGCGCTCTCCATTCTTGGTGTCTCTGTGCTATTTCATAATAAAAATGTGCTGAAAGACACCTGTTTACTACCTCACATGTTAACGAATCACTTGTCACGTTGGTGCAGGCACTGGCCTCAGATCCTGTGGACTTAAGGCGGCCACTTTCACTAGGGCAGGATTTTCAGGGCCAGGGAACAACAGAGCCGCTCAGCACCCCGCCTCCCGGGACCGCAGGGGAAGCCTGGGGTGCGGGGATCGAAGGCCGAGACCCGATTTCTGCCTTTGCCCATGGGGACACGCGGGGCAAAGCTGCAGGTTTCCGGGCCCGTGTTCTCATGAGCGGGAGGTGGAGGAGGGCGGGGACCTCTTGCTGACACCCGCATTCAGCAGGTCGGGGGCGGAGGCCACGACTCTGTCTTCAGCATGTGTCTTCCCAGAACTCTGAGGCAGCAGGACCCCAGACAACCACCGTTTGGGAAACTCGGGCCTGAATGACCCTGTGCTCTGCCAGCACGTTCTACTGTACATTCTATCACACTCTACCGTAAGAGCCTTTTCTTGGGAGATAAAGAGAAATATATGCAATTTAACACTTGAAGGAAAGTCCAAGTGTTTGAAAATTGGCAAAACGGGAGAACGGCTGTAACAAGGGGAGAGCAGGAATTAAATACAGGCCTTTCAGACGAACCCCACTGCCGGTGTCAGGAAACCAGGCACATGCAGTAGCAGACCTGCGTGTGCTTTAAACCGATGTCTGGCTGCGACCGAAAAGAACCGCAGCGCTGCCAGCCTCAGAGTTTGCTAGATCATGTCTGTCTAGCGAGCCTGCTAAGACACAGACATCTGCGCTCCAGTCTCGAAGATTTTAACTTTGTAGCTTGAGGTAGGGTCCGGACAGGGATGCCAATGCCCGACAAAATTTCATAACCGGTATATAACCTGACGGTTCTGAATGGCACTTAGATCCTGATTTTAAAAAATGTATACTGAGATTTTTCAGATATATCCAGTACATGAGAAGACAGTCTACTCGTTTTTATTTTTTTAGCCTACAACTTAAGTTATTTCACTCTTATTTGAAAGAAATCGTCCCTCACCCAGACCTTATTCCTTTAGCCTCCATGACAGAAAAATTATGACAAGCTTTTGTCCAGGGTACAGGAGCGGCCCCTTGTAGAACAGTTTAGTGGCAGAAGTCTCAAGGGCCCCTTAAACTAGTTTTTAAAACCTCCCGGTCGGGGGGCGCCTGGGTGGCTCAGTGGGTTAAGCCGCTGCCTTCGGCTCAGGTCATGATCTCAGGGTCCTGGGATCGAGCCCCGCATCGGGCTCTCTGCTCAGCAGGGAGCCTGCTTCCTCCTCTCTCTCTGCCTGCCTCTCTGCCTGCTTGTGATCTCTCTCTGTCAAATAAATAAATAAAATCTTTAAAAAAAAAAAATAAATAAAAAAAAAAATAAAACCTCCCAGTCGGGGCGCCTGGGTGGCTCAGTGGGTTAGGCCTCTGCCTTCGGCTTGGGTCATGGTCTCAGGGTCCTGGGATCGAGCCCCGCATCGGGCTCTCTGCTCGGCAGGGAGCCTGCTTCCTCCCTCTCTCTGCCTGCCTCTCTGCCTACTTGTGATCTCTGTCTGTCAAATGAATAAGTAAAATCTTGGAAAAAAACAAACAAAAAAACCTCCCAGTGGTATATTCGGGAATGAACTGGTCAGAGAAGGGAAGGTGCCGGATACTCCAGTCAGACAGTGCGTTACACCTGCCCCGGCCCCACGGCTTTGCCACCTTAGGAAGCTGCCTGAGCTCCGGATCTGAGTTTTCCCCAGGGCTGGGGTATTAATAGCCGCTTGGGGAGCTAAGTGGACACCTTCCTTGGCAGAGTGGTCTCACAGTTTCATGAAAACTCTCTGGACTGGAGTTAAGGATCTCTAAATTTTAAATCTATTTTTAATGGCAAGTTTATGGACAAAACCCATGTGCCTGTTTTAGCTTACTCTTTGGGGTGATGTAACAATACAACGACTTCTGTGAGGAAACACTATAAATTAAGAGGCTTTTGAAAAAATTTTATAAAGCCACAGTCCATTTGCATCCCCCAAGAACAGGCAGTGGCTCAAACGGGGTGTGTGCCCTCCTCAACACTGCTGTCAAGGGCTCCCGGAGAGTCTCCTCTCAGGATCTGCTCTGCTTTCCCTGGTCACGGAGAGCCTTCAGGGAAGCTGGGTCCTAATTCTTTTATCGGAATCCATGCTCTGTGGAGCTCTGAGATGTCAAGACAGAAATTCCACTAGGCACCTTTGTTCCCTAGGAGATGTTCAGGACAGGTGGCCAACAGGAACTGCATCCATGGTAGTCTGTCTTTCTCAACGATCAGGGACATGGAATTCTCAGGAATCATAGACAGATATTTAAGTAAGCATCATTGAAGAAGACAAACACAGCCACTCCCATCCTGACAAAATCACTCTCAAGTTCTAGGCTAATGTTCCTGACCCCAAGTTTTAAAGGAATCTTTCTAACAAACCCATCCTTGAAATGTAATAGATTAGGAGAAGCATTTAACAAACTGTACTCTGAAAGAGAGTCTATGTTTAAATATTCACATGAGGAGAAAGTACACAGAAAGTGCACAGAAGCAGGACAGGAAGCTGAGTCCACTGGGCCACCTCCAACAGAGGGACAGATGCAGGCATCAGAATGCACCACGCTTGTTGGGACAGGGAGAAAAAGGTTCTTCCCTTCTTCCCTTTCCTTCTGACAGTAGCACAAAACCCACTATAGCTATATGGCCTCTGTAGCCGTTCTGCAGAAGTCCCCACTTGGCTACAGGATAAACCAGACACAGCCACACTAGGGCCAACAAAGTCCAAGGTCATAGATTTTTCAACATCATCCTTATGGTGAAAGACTGGATACTTTCCCTCTAAGAGTGGGAACAAGACAAGGATGTCTGCTCTACCACTTCTACTCAGCACTGTATTAGACATTCTAGCCATGACATTTAGACAAGGAAAAGCAATAAAAGGCATCTCGATTTGGGGGGGGCACACAACTATCTCCATTAGCAGATGACATGATCTTGTAGGTGGAAAATCCTAAGGCACCCAACTAGTAACTTAATAAACGAATTCAGCAAAATTGCAGCATACAAGATTGATATATAAGAATCAATTTTATTTCTATACATTAGCGATGAGAATCTAGAAATGTAAAAACCAATTCCACTTATAATAGTGCCAAAAAGAATATGTAAGAATAAACTTAGCAAAAGAAATGTAAGACTTGTACTCGGAAAACCATAAAACATTGCTAAAAGAATTTAGTTTAAGACATAAGTAAATGGAAGGATATGCATGTTCTCGGATCAGGGACTTAATGTCAGAATGGCAACACTCCCTGAAAAGATCTGCATGTTCAATGCCACCCCTTTCAAATTCCAGCTGGCTTGCTTGCAGAAATTGACAAGCTGAACCTAAAATTCATATGGAAATGGAGGACCCAGAAATGGAGGACCCAGAATAGCCAAAACAATCTTGAAAGAGAACAAAGTTGGAGGATTCACAGTTCCCGATGTCAAATCCTGCTACAAACCAACATATGCAAGACAGAGCAGTACGGGTAGAAGGACACAGAGTGCACACACAGAAGTGGGAGCCCAGAAGTAAATCCTTACATTTAAGGTCAGAAAGTACAGCATGGAAGTTAACAGTCGGTAGGTGTTGCGGGAGGGGAGAATGAGGCACGTCCGCTAATGGGCACAGGGTTTCTTTCTGGAGCGATGGAAATGGTCTGGAATTAGCAGTGATGCTTGCAGAACTCTCACACCGCAAACCAGTGACTTAACCACTTTAAAAGGGTAAAGTGTTTGTGAATTATATATCAATAAAGCTTTTTTTTTAATTAAAAAAAAAAATCCCCTTTTCCATCAAAGTACGGGGTAAGATTAGGTACGTGAGACTCAACACACTCCTCACCTTCCAAGCCCCGACTTACCCTGAATGGTGTAAATAAAACCGCCGGCCACTCCCTCCACACCTTCCATGAACTCGTGGGGCAAGGCGCCCTCCCCAGCCTGAAAACAAGGGAAGTGCTCAATGCTTCATTACTACAAGTACACTTCTATTTAAAACTGATGTGGCAAAATTTATAATGTGACTCCACAGCAGATAAATCCATTTAAGCCCTACACGAGATCAGGTTGACTTCAGTGTTCTATGTTTGTTATCTGATTGTTACCTTGATTACAATATTAAAGATCAGGTGCACAGGGCAGTCCATAGGGCTCGGAATTCCAACTGACACAGAATCACAGTCCTGAACTTGCTACCATAATAGCACAAAACCCAATTTTATTTTATATCCCAAACCTGCCACTTAAAAAAAAAAAATGACCACCTTCGATTTCTTTGAGACTGAAAACTGCCATGAATTCAAATACATCAAGGCAGATTTTTTCAAGTTTGTTCTACTGGCAGAGAAAGCCCCTTGAATGAACTGTGCATACGGAGCCCGGCTGCTCATTGATGCTCTCCCAGCTGCCCAGGCTGGCCACAGGCCTCTCGGCCTCCGAGGACTGGAGGAGATTTTATGATTAGAGATTTACAAGTTCCCCAGTGTGGTGTTTCCCCTCTGTGTGCTGCACGCCCATGTGGCATCCCTGGCAGAGTGGGGCTGGGCCGGACCGCACAGGTGTGTGTGTGTGTGTGTGTGTGCGTGCGCGTGCGCGCACATGGCACTGCCCCCACACACTCCCCTACTAGCATGGCTGCAGCCTGGCCTGTCCCCTCAGCAGAGCTGTACTGCGCGGAGCAGTGTTTTAGGGCTGTAGAGACCCCATCCGGAGGTGGGACCGTGGGAGCTTATCGCTTAATGTGGAGGAAGCTACCAAAGGTGGAGCTAACGTTCCCGGCTTTGCAGAGCCAGGCAAGGTGGCACACTCTGTTTTTTCATTGTGTACTCTACATTGTTTCGGCTTGTTTAGAACTTGATGGTACTTTTCATTAGCTTCTATCTAAAAGGTCACCGCTGGACTTTTAACAGTTTCTGACATTCTCACTTGCTGACAAGGGAGCAAAACTTGGGGAAACTTTCAGCTTCACTCATTTATGGTGGAAACCTGTATTTGTACGTGGGGGTTTCCTAGAAGGGGCTACCAAATGACCGGACTATTTTTTAAGGTTGTAAGCAGTCTTTTGCCCTCTACAACTATATTTACCCCCAAAGTGGGTCATTTGAGTCTTTCCATTTGAACCTAGTCCTCAACTCAGAAGTCATCTGGTTTCCTTTTGTGCAATCAACTTCATAACTACAGAACTTCAGCACATTTTGGATATTTTTTAAAGTTTCATAAATAGAAAAGGAGGCGACATACTAAAGGCACTTGCCTTGGAAATAAGGAAAGAAAAGAATAAAACTATAATTAAATTTCATAAGACGTTCTATGCTAAATAAACGACTGTTGGTAACAAAGGATGAGATCCTAAAAATGACCCATAAGGCTAAGTTTGTAATTATATATGAATCTGTGATCTAATGATTTTCTTCCTCACTGGAGTATAAGTTCCACTGTGGGCCAGGAGTGGTTTTCTAAATGAGTAACAGCATACCACCTAATGTTTATTTCAAATTTGGGAATTAATTCATGTGAATATTAATAGCTAATGAAAATAGACTAAGCCCGTGAGCTGAGATGGCAAGCACTCTCCTAATCATTACACCAGAGCATCAAAGAGAGTGAGACTGTGTTTGTGACACCACCACACCCCCCACTTGTATTATTTAAAGCTCATCGTGTGAAGTCTGCCTACACCTTATCGTCCCACACTTACTTGGAGATATTTACCTATCAAACTTTCAAATCTGAAGCAAATCTGAATACATGAAAAATACGAGGCAGAAATCCCAGCAATATAAATGACACCAAAAGCTCTGCTATATTTGCCAGCACAGCTGTCTGTGCTGCTGTCACGAACACCCTGCTAGGAAGGTGAGGGCGTGAGGATTCAGAACACTACCAAGCAAGCGTCCTTTGGGAATGTTAGCTTAGAAGTTATTGAGAAATGGGCGCCTGGGTGGCTCAGTGGCTTAAGCCTCCACCTTTGGGTCAGGTCATGATCTCAGGGTTCTGGAATTGAGCCCCACATCGGGCTCTCTGCTCAGCGGGGAGCCTGCTTCTCCCTCTCTCTCCGCCTGCCTCTCTGCCTACTTGTGATCTCTGTCAAGTCAATAAATAAAATCTTAAAAAAAAAAAAAAAAGAAACGTATAAAAAAAATTGGGAAATAAAATATCACGTTTTTTAAAATTCACCAATCTTAAGGCAAAACTGTGCATTTACTAATGCTGGAGTGAGAAAATCCAAGAAGATGAGTTGTTCGTCTGTACTATGGTGACAGCATTTTCTGCTGTACACGCGCGAAAGTACCCACGATTCACGGTTCCACATTCCCTGGGTTGATGTAAATTGTAAAGTTAAAAACATTCTTTCTGTATTAAAAAATGCTACTATGCCGAACAGCCTTAGGAAGAAAGGATGACTTACCGTAATGACTCGGAGAACGCCGCCACCGTCATTCACAGTCACTTTGTGGAGATTTCTTGACACGAGGCCTTGGAGGTCTTGGCTCTCCCACACGATGGTACCTTCAAAGCTCTTTTTGTGGAAAGATAGAGTCGATTTCTTTATTGTTGTCAGTTAGGTTTTAAGTATGTTTTTAAGGAAAAATAATTTTTTTCCCTAAAACCTATTGGTTACAATTTTTATCCCCCTACTCTAACACACAGCACCATTAACATGTTGGTATATATGCTCGAGTCATTTTTCTCATGCGTATCTGAAAGATACAAGTACAAAGGGTGCAGAGACAATTTTGCTGCTGTTTGCATGTCCCTCACGCCAAAGAGTTTCCTGTTGTTACAGCTCGGACGACCATTCTTTGCCACGCACACACAACTGATGTGCATCAAGTCGCGATCCCGAGTCACGGAGACATGTCCCCATGGCAGATCTGGGCTCTACCAACTATCTAGTGAAGCATGTTTTGGTGTGAATGTTTATTTTGTTTCAAAATACATTTTCAGAGTTGAAATTATGGGACAAGAAAGAAATAGAGATATTTTATACAGATTTTGGGACACAATGTCAAACTTTTTTCAAAAAGGAAATTACCTAATTTCCCAATTTACAAAAATACTACCTGCACTGTATTCTTCCAAGTATGGGATATTAATGAAAGCAAAGACATTTACGTCAATTTAGTAGATTAAAAGATGATTCCTCATTAACTGCATTTCTTTTGATTTCTAATGTTTATAAATTACACAGTCTCTACTGGGAGTTACTGATCCATGCCTCTTTGCCATTTAGCTACTGAGTTTTCTACTTTTCTTATTAATCTGTGTTATCTTGTAATAAATAATTCTGTTTCTATAATACATGCTAAAATATTTTTTCAGAACTGTTTGCCACTTTTTTTTTTTTTTTTTTAACTTAAAAGGTCCATAAGTTTTATCTTGTCAAATCTGTCAAGCTTTCTGTTTGTGATAATTATTAAATTCTGGGCTTAGAAAGTTACACTCTCTGCCCAAAGGTTTGACACTTAAATTCTAGTGTCTTCTAACTTTTCCAGGAGGGTTCAGCTGCTCCTTTGTACTGCTCAGGCCGTCCCCACTGTCAGCCCCTCTGGCTTGCTCCAGAGATCCAACGGAAGGCAGCTGGCATCCAATTTTTCCCACCACATCAGCCTGTCTTCTTTTCCTAATACCCCACTTATCAGTCTGATACTTCCTGTTTATTTTACTACTGTCGAACTAACAATTCCCACTAGAACACAAGCACCATGAGAACAGGGATCTCGTATGTCTTATCGACCACCATATTCCTGGCACCTAGAATGGCCTGACATGCTTAACAGGCACTTGAAAAATATTTATTTAATAAACAATGTTAATTGTTAATTGGAATGATTTTTGGTCTAGAACACCAGACAAAAGATACAGCTTTAATTATCTTTTAATTTTTTTTCACGTATTAAAATTAAGAGATAAAGCGCTGTAAGGTCTCAGTTAGACAGCATTAGGAAGGGCACTATATAAAACTGAACTTTCCAATAAGTAAGGCCATTGGTTTGAAAGGTTAGGCCTTTCAAGCAAGGCCAGTGGTTTGAAAGCTTTTTGTAAAGCATTATAACTCCTCTATGAAACGGAAACGCTAGGAATCAGGATTCCTTGGGCAGTCTGTCACTTTATAGTCTGCACTGTTGGGGAGACTCCTGATGTGCTTTGAGGAGCCCCAGGGTTCCAGAGAGCAGGCCTCTTGGACACACTGTGGGGGGTCACCGCCTGACCTCGAGCACAGAACAAGCGATGCCACCTCATGGGGCTGGGCCAGGGGTTAATGATGACACGCGCGCGGCGTGCGGGGTCTCTGCTCAGCGTAACGGAGCTTAAGACCACTAGAAGGAAAGCAGAAAGTGAAGGGCCCCTTTAAAAGATCTCGTTGTCTCATCTTGGAAATGGGCACAGATTATTTCTCTACTCTCCCTGGAAAGCCTTAACTCTCCAGCTGAACCTTGAGTCCCTAAAAACAGCATCCTTACAGACACATGCACAGAGGGAAACAAGCCTAGGGAGAAATACAAGTATCCTGGGAAACATGTGGATAATGTCACATTCCTCTAACCTTTCTATATGTAGTCAAGTTTTCAACAGTGGATCTGTATTCCTTTCCTATATTTTCACTTTTATGATAAAAAAATTTTTTTTAAACATATGTATACAAGGAAATAAATTTGGGGTCAATCTTCTTCCAGACACGAGGCATTCGTTATCTAAACTTTTGAGTGTCTACGACGCAGCAGTCTACGGGCTACTGGAACATTTATAGGAGTGAAACAGCTCCTATCTTCAGATCTTCATAATATGCCCTGCTGGGGTCAGTGACAGAGGAAAGTCACTCTGCCTGAGGTCTGCCAGGACTCCAGATGACAGAGCCCGGGGCAGAGTCTGGCAGGCGTCTGAGTCAGCAAAGGGAGAGGCGGACGAGCACTCCTCAAAAGGCAGGTGTGAGAGCACTGCAAGCCCAGGAAAGTATGGAGAGTTTAGTGCCACTGAAGCCCCAGGCTGAGGAAAGGAGACGTGGAAGGCGGCTCTGTCAGCGCTGCCTGCGGGAACAGTCTGTCCTTCATCCCCAAGCCGGGGGAGCATTTGTTTGCAAGCACAGAAGTGACGCAATCCTAGCCCCCATTTTAAACGGTCGCTCCAGGAGCAGAAAAGCATCAGGCAGGCGGGTAAGGAAACTGGGAACTGGACTATTATGGAGGTCCAGGTGAGGAGTCAGCACTAACCTAGAAATTCAGACTGCCTTCTGAGAAGCTGAAGGAGACACAGATATATGGGAAGATATTCAAGCTCGCAGATTGGAAGCATTAATATTATTAATATGTCCATACTACTCAAAGCAATCTAGAGATTCGAGGTAATCTCTACCAAATTCCAATGGGGTCTTCATAGAAATACAGCAAGTGCTACTAAAATCTGCACGGAACCACAGAAGACCCCAAACAGCCAAAGCAACCCGAAGAACAACAGAGCTGGAGGCATCCTGCTTCCTGATTTCAAACTATATTACAAAGCTACTGAGAACAAAACAGCATGCTATTGGCATAAAAACTGGAACACTGATCAATGGAACAGAAGGACGAGCCCAGCACCAAGCCCATGCATAAATGGTCAATTCACTTACCACTGAGGAGGCAAGAAAATACATGGGAAAGACAGACAGACACTGCAACAAATGGTGTTGGGAAAACAGCCAAGTGCAAGGAAAGAACCTGGACCACTACGCTATGCCATATACCTCAGAATGGATTTAAGACCCAAACAGAAGACCTCACATCGTAAGATTCCTAGAATAAAACTTAGGTGGTAGGTTCCCTGACACTGGTCTTGGCAATGATTTTTTTGGATTTGACACCAAAAGCAAAAGCAACAAAAGCAAAAATAAACAAGTAGGACTACATCGAACCAAAAAGCTGCTGCATAGCACAGGAAACCATCAGCAAAATGAAAAGGCAACCTATGAATGGGAGAAAATATTTGCAAACGATATACCTGACGAGGAATTACTACCCAGACATATAAAGAATTCCCACAACTCAACAGCAAAAACCAAACAATCCAATTAAAAGATGCGCAGAGGATCTGAATAGAATGTTTCCAAAGACAACACAACGCACAGATGGCCAACAGGTACATGAAAAGATGCTTTCATCATCAGGGAAATGCAAATCAAAACCACAATGAGAGACCACCTCACGCCTGTCAGAATGGTGACTAAGATGCGGAGAAAAGGGAACCCTCGTGCGCTGCTGGTGGGAATGTAAACCGTTGTAGACACTGTGGAAACAGTATGGAGGGTCCTCAGAAACTAGAGGAGAACTAGAACTACCATATGATCCAGCAATTCCACTTCTGGGTATTTATCCAAAGGGAATGAAAACACCCACTTGAAAAGACACCTGTGCCCCCTTGTTCACTGCAGCATGTTTACAAAAGCCATGATATGGACACAACCTGAATGCCCACAGATGGATGGATGGATGAAGATGTGATGCAAATACACATACGTGCGTACGCACATGCACACACAGACACAGGAATATTATACAGCCATAAAAGGAAGGAAACCTTGCCATTTCCAACGTGGATGGACCTTGAGGCCGTTATGCTAAATGAAATCAGTCAGAGAAAGACAAACACCATATGACTTCACTTATATGTGGAATCCAACACGTTTTTAAAAACCAAAAAATGAAACACTGAACTCTTAGATACCGAGTATCAGATGGGTGGTTGCCAGAAGGGGGTGCTGAGGGGCTGCGTGAAATGGGAGAAGGGGGTGAAAAGGTGCAAATTTCCAGCTGTAAAATAGTAAGTCCTGAGGATGTAATGTACAGCATGGTTGGGCAGTTAATAATGTTGTATATATGAAAGCTGCTAAGTGAGGAGATCTTAAAAGTTCTCATAAGAAATGTAACCGTGGTGATGGAAGTTAACTAGACTCAGTGTGATCATATTGCAATATCCAATCATTACGCTGTACACCTGAAATGAGTATGTTATATGTCAATTATATCTCCATGAAAAAAGGAAAAAAAGATTGCCTTCTGAGTTGAATAATTAAATGCATACGTTAAAGGGAACAATGTCTCTGATAACTGAGAAGGCTCTGAGATTGAAGCTTAATTAGTAAACTCACTACCTCAAAACAACAGCTCAAGTATATTCCTATACAAAAGCTGGGTTGAGAGAGAAATCTGGGCAACGGAGCAATGTCTAGTGGGAGGGAGACGCAGGAATGGGAAGACACCGATCATTCCAGTCACATTGTGCCCGAACGAGCCAGCTCTCGGAAACAAACACATCCCACTCCTGTAAGCAAAGCCAAGGATCAAACCCAGCACTGCTCTGAGTTGGGTTTTTGGTGTCTGACATCCCAGTAAGGAGGTTCCCAGACAGGGGTCATGACTTTCAAATCTAATAAGCTAATACCTATTAAAGATGAATGAACAGGTGCTCTGGTTTACAAACCGGTCTTCTGTGAATTTATTCAGTTTCATTCAGTGAGACTCTGGTCATCTCTATGCGAACTAA